TATGTGGTTAGATTCTAGAGAGAGAGAGAGAGAGAGAGAGAGAGAGAGAGAGAGAGAGAGAGAGAGAGAGAGAGAGAGAAGAATCTAAAAATCAGCGACTGAGAATCTAGAAATCAGTGCCTAAAAATCTAAAAATCAGCGACTAAGAATCTAGAAACTAGCATTTAAGAATTTAGAAAACAGCATCTAAAAATCTAGAAACCAGCGTCTAAGAATCTAAAGAGAAAGAGAGAGAGAGAGAGATTCTATTTTAACAATTTATTGTACATAAAATGAATATATATATATCCTCTACGCCTGGATTTTATTCGGAATGGGAACGCTTTTATATTTTGGAAGGATTTTTATTTTTCGAATAATTCTTGCAGCTCAATGTATGCCACAATTCAGCGGCGGTCCGGTGGAATTTATGACTTGCGATGACATCCAATGCAAAAGGGCCGATGGCTGGTTCTTATCGTATACGAAGATAGCAGGAATCATTGTAGTTTTTATTATCGGTGTCGTTGCCGCAGGATTTCTGGGATGGTATATCAACTCCTTACCACAGAAAAAGGTAAGAAACAATGCAAAATAAACAATTATTTGATATTTAACATTCAAACAAAATTTGTATTTGTCAGGATTACGAGGCTCTAGACTTGCTGAACGATGAGATCGAGAATACGGATGATCTTGGTGAAAATACGGCTTCACCTTTCGTTCATCCCTTGAAATATCGTTTGGAATTAACGCCGATCATTATCGATATTAATCTCTCGTCGAAATTATTTGGCCGCGTGTTCATTGAATTTCAAGTAAACGATACGACAGGTGTAAACAAACTCTCGTTAAACGCGAAGAATATTACAACGACAAATTGTAAATTAACATTGCTGCATTTGGAAGAGAACAAGAAGCCATCAAGAAAAAGACGAAGGAGGAGAGCTAATGATGCGATTAATCATAATGGTCAATGGGACGATACAATTTCTGGTAATGTTACTAATTGTTTAAAAGTTGATAACTAAATTGATAACTACATTAATTGATGACTTAAATTGTACATTAAATTAAATTAAATTAAATGAATAAAAATTAATTTCTATTAACTATGAGCTAATATATTTCTCATAGTTTTATTAATCCTTCAGTGTGACAGCTTAATATTAATTATTTGGACTTTTTGATCATTTTTGTAGGTTTAAAGTGTACATTAGTAATAATAATAAACTTCATAATGGTCACAATTGTGTTGATTTATGTTCTAATATTGTTGAAATGATTTCTAGGTGCACAAGAGTCACTATGGTGTATAGATGTAGTCCCTGAAGGGTTTAAAATTTGTTTATGATAAAAGTTTATGATAAAAATTGTAAAATCGTGTTATTTATTTGCAATTACTTTGTATTCCATAGAAAATGTAGTCATGGTAACACTGACGGAAAACGAGACAGTTGTACATAGTAAAGGCTCTGAAAATCCATCAGAAAGCAAGTCTACTGTTGATGAATCAAAGATTCCATTGGTAAATTACGCATCAGTCGGCGAAATTAATAGTTCACGTGCAAATGCTGTTGTACAATTCGGACCTGAATCTTTCGAGAATGCGTCTTTGCAAATGCGGATTGCAAATTACGATACAGACGAGGACAAAGAAGTTCACACGATTCATTTAGAGAAACAGATACAGCAAGGAGTTTATTTGTTGGAAATCGAATATGAATTGTCAATCAGTGACAATGTATTTTTCCTCGCAAATTATAGTTCATCCGACGGAGAAAAGCAAGTATATTATTTCGTTTCCTGCATTTTTGTTTATTAATTAAATACTAATTATGTGGAATAATTTATATTTAGTGTAAAGCTATGTGTTAATATTTAAAAGAGAATGATGTTTCATATGTTTCGCTGATTCTGCGGATTTTTATGCATTTATAGGAAATTTGAAGATACAGAATTGCACAGAAAGTACAATGAAATGTGATAAAAATGTGATAAAAATAAACAATTGAATGAAATTACTGTAATAATTATATATATTTATTATAATATTAAAATTAAATTAAATTAAATTATATAAAATTAAATTGGTACTTTACAACTAAAACTTTGCTATAGGAAACTAAAATTCTCTATCGAGATTTTGTTTTTGAAATTCTGTCTTCAAAAGCATATCAACATGCATAAGATTTCGCATTCTGCTATTGAGACAAAACTGTCTTCTGAATTTCAAATAATATTATTAGCTGGCTAATGGGGACAAAATTGAAACATTGTGGTGCCCGATGCCTTTTCCCGGTTTTCGACGATGCGACATACAAGTCAGTATTTTCCGTATCCATCGCACGTCCCAAGGAAATGACAGTACTTTCGAACATGCCTCTCAGGACTTTAAGGGATGCGTAAGTAATTCATGACGTGTCTTTCTGAAGAATTTGTAAATGAAACTGATAGTATCTGGCGACTTTCCACAACATATAAAACAATTTTCTGAAACGTGAATTTGCACAAAAATCCACAGTTTGATAACACATTCAAATTGAATCTTCGTTGTATTTCACAGACTGAATGCTCGCCATAAAACTGATTTGTCTGGTTTTTAAAAAAATCCTAGTAAAAAAAAACAAAAAAACGAAGACAGTTGTCTATTACTATTTACATTAAATATGCATATCTCTATTAAATTAAAATGTTCATCGCAGAGTTAATTCATCTTGTTTCACCAAGTTTTACTTAAAAAGAGAAACAGATGAAAGAGATGATCTTTGTTATTATCTTTGTTTCAAGTCTGGACAGTTCACTGGTGATCGATACTTTTGACGATTCCCCGCCCATTTCACCGCACAATTTGGCTTTTGTAATGGGGCACATCGAGGCCATAAACGCGACACTTATAGGAGACACCGAAGTAGTTGCAACGTTCTGGCGTGATTCGAACAGAACCTTACCAGAGATTTACCTATTCGACAAACTGAACTCGGTTGTCGTTAACCTGATGGACGTGTTTTTGACGTCTTACCCCTATCCCAAGCTGGATCTGGTGGGTTTGCCTCTAGGGATAAACGAGAACATGGGAAGCCCTGGATTAATTGCTATCAAGTAAGCACCATCATTGTTTGTCAACAGTAGAAATGTTCCTTATCCAATTTGTGATCTGTAATAATCTATAAAATCTATAATAGTCTATAATAATCTGTAATCTTCATACGTGACTACAATCTTCAGCAGTGATTAGCTTGTTATACTTCTTAACTCTGTTTCAGGAATGTAATCGTCACAATGCAAAAATTGCCATTTTTTTTAATTGCCATTGGCCATTTGCTATTGCTTATTTAAAAAATATTTATGTATCAACTGGTGATTATATTCCCTGTAATGTAACAATTGCTATTTTTTCGTTGTTATGATCGTTGCTTATTTAACACTAGAATTATCAAAAGTGGTAAAAATGATGAGTGTTAAAGACATTACGAATACAAGAATACCGATTTTTTGTCCTTTTGTATGATAGATTTTGCAGAGTTGAAATATATCCTAAATTAATAGGTCTTAGAAATACATAATGTCGAGCTGCATTGGCTAATGAATAAAAAAAGTATATCTCAATAAAAAAAGCAAAATAATAACAAAACGATCGCGTTATACGTGCCTCTGGAAAGCATGAAACTTTCTCGAAAAAATTCTTTCGTACAACAAACAGTTTACAAGTTATTTCGAGTCGTTTCGTTGCGAGACTCATCCTGTATACTACGCATCATTAGGACATTTCATGTCAAATTAAACAGTCTTACTGCTTCAGAAGACTGGTTAAAAAAGTCTCGCTAAATTAATTCAATTTATAATTTACAAACGTTAAGATATTATCGTACGTATATATCTTCGTTACTTAACCGCAATTCTTCGCCGGCAATCTAATTGAAAACGCTTAAATTTTTAAGGCAGTCGTTGTTCTACGCTAGCGAGAAATCGCCGCAGGTCACGAAACATAACGCTTTGAAGGTTCTGGTCACTCTGATAGGGCAGCAATGGCTGGACGAGTTTATGAACGTGAATCGAACGAACGCGTGGATCTTCGAGAGTCTGCTCGATCATCTCAAATACGAAATCATCCAGAAGGCAAGTGACTCATTTTGCATTTAAAAATGAAAACGCACAAAGTCGTAAATCGTTGTAATAAAATTCCATTTTCAGATAGATTTGTCATTGGACCCGGCCGATTCCTTTATCATCGATGTTCAGCTGCACATGATGGAGATGGATGGTTATAGCATTTCAAGGCCTTTTCACGAAAATGTCAACTACCATCCATTGCCATCGATTGATTATGAGCATGCGAAAGGTAAACCGATAATCCAGCTTGTTTTTAGGCTACGGTCATAACGAATGCGACTATTCAAACGACGAGTAATTTCGAAAATTAGTACATAGCCAAGTTGTCGAAAAATTGTTTGTCACGGCTGAAATAAGTATTATAGAATGTCTAAGGGATCTGTGCGTTCTTTGCCCTTGTCTACTACTGGGGCCAATAAACGTATAAAAGTAATGTGGGGGACACATCCCTGGGCAGTACTGTTAAGTCCATAAAGTAATTATGTTTATTACTTTATGGGACTGACCGTGTCCAATTCTGTTTCCCCAATTATAATGGTCACAAAGCCCTTCATCGTGTAAGTAATCCCAAAAGTGCAATAAAAAAAATTTGAAACATTGACAAACATGCTTAAAGTCAGTTTTATGTTCCCGAAAATAGGATGCCCCGTAGTTGTGATAAATGATTTTTCGACAGGAAGCTGTCAACCTATCAATGAAATATTAGTTTGAAAGTTTTAATTTAAAAAAGGGAATTAAGCATGGGCATTATTTGATTATTTAAATATCATGGCATCTTATTTGACCTTGAAATAATTCTACGTTAGTTTATTTGAACAAGCTATCAAATGAAATAATTTTTTATTTGATTTTGTATTTTGTAGCTGTTTCTTCAAATAATTTTTCAAATAGTTTCTAATTCTATTTTATAAACTCCGGCTTTCGATTATTCATTATTTTACTTTATAATGAATTGGACTGCTTATTATTGGACCTTATTATTTACCAGATCCTCTTGGGTCCAAGAGGATTTTTGAAATAAAAATACTGAGCTATGTTTCAAATAAAAATAGTAAATTAGTGGAAATGACTCGTTACTTTTTATCTTTATTTCTAAATAAAATTTGCCCAATCCTGTTTTTCATTTTCTGTTGTGTCATTCTCTTCGCAAGTGTGTAATACGTAGCTCTCAGGATATTGTGAGTGGGCAAATACGTTTCTGCATTTTCAATTGTTTTTTATAGGTGCATGTCTGATACGCATGTTGCATGGCGCGATAAGTGATACCGACTTTAGAAACGGCTACCAGAAACTGATAACCAGGTGGTGGGTATATAATATATCGCGATGAAATATTTTATGCTTACGATGAAATATAAATATTACTTGAAGAGGGATAAATTTTTAATTAAATAATTTGATAAGTGAATTGACTCGAGAAATTGGTCATTTTGATTATTTTGCCAGTTCTAATATTAATTTAAATACATTACATTAAAAAACAAAAGATGATCTGGATAACAAATTATTTTAGATACGGATTATCTTCGTGACGAGTTAATTTGTAACAGATAAATTAATATGAATTTTGTTATAATGAAGGACATTTCATTACCTGATATATATATATTTTTTTATTATTATATACTAATGATCTTCTTGTCTTGTCTTTTTTTTCAAACAAAAAATTAATTAATTCAAGTTTCGATATAATTCGAAAGGGCTTTTATTATTTGATCAGGAAGTATAATAGCACGGATGTTGTCGATTTCATGAATATTTTGGCGGAAGGAGCGATGGAACTTCCGCCTGGAGTTTCATTGGTACAGACGATCAATTCATGGATCTTTCAAGGTGGATATCCACTTGTAACAGTCATAAGAAATTACATGAACGAATCCGCTGTTATTTATCAGGTATTACAACAAATAACACTGTAATTTTTCTATTCAATTCTAATTATATTAAATTCATTAATGTAGAATTTATTTATAGAATTTTATTTAATAATATGATACTTCTGTGATAATCTTAAAATATAATTCTATGTAATAATAATTTATTGCATGAAGTTTATTTTATTTGTATTGAATTCTATTTAAGCAAAAGATGGGTTTTAAAGAAAATTTACACTGGTTTAAATATGAATGCAAAGTGAAGTGTATAGTTGCTCACGAAAGTATTCAAACATTAATAACATTTAAAGAAAAAACTTTGTCGCTAATATTTTGTATCTAAATACTTGTTTTAGGAACAATTTTCACTCGATCGTCCGTTAGAAAGTATTACTAAATTCTGGTATATCCCATTGAGTTACACTAATAATTACAGTAATTGGTCGTCTCCTTCAAAAATATGGTTCCCACCTGAACTTAAAATTACCTTGGATAACATTGGTTCCAATGAATCTTGGATACTTTTCAATGTAAATAAAACTGGTATGTAGTAAATTTAATTATAATATTTAATACATTTTGTGGAATAGTGGCATTGCAAATGATTATTTCAATGAATATTCATACATGAAACAATACCAAAAATTTTATACTTTTATATGTATATTTATCATTCATTTCTGTTGCTTTTATTTTTATTAAATTCATATTTTATTGCGTATATATATTACAATATGTTACTTTCCTCTGTAAAATAATGGAATAAATAATTTTGTTACTTACATTTTTCAAGGTTTCTATCGTGTAAATTACGATGACAGAAATTGGATGCTGTTAAAGCTGGCTCTGGTGGAAAATCACGACTCATTTCCGGCAGAAACGAGAGCATCACTCATAGATGATGTTTTTAGTTTAGCTGAAATAGGCTTCGTGAAATACGAAGCCGCGTTTGAGTTTATTAAATATATGCAAATGAAGGAAAGACATTATATACCGTGGGGTGCGTTTATGCGGCACATGCTCAAATTAAATAGGCTCCTATATGAAACCTCAGTTTTCAATGATTTCCAGGTGAGTAACGCAGTTGAAGTAAACGTATAACAAACGGAGGAGTTTTACTTTGAATTAATATAATTAAAATTGAAACTCTAAGTTATAATTTGATTTTAATAATTTTAATTATAATAGTACAATATTAAAGTCGTGTGATACAAAAACTTCTTATTATCGTAAAATTACCAAACAGTTGTCTTTTATTTGGTAATTAGAAAACGCTGCTTGATCTTGCGTAACTGTTAGATGCATAAAATTATTTTCTAAAATAAAGAAAAAAAATTCATTCATTGTGTGTGAATATTATTATATTCTTGCGTTTATTGTACATAATATAATATAATCTTGCGTTTAATTTTAGGAATTTATGGTAAGATTTGTATCCCCGTTGTACAGTGAAGTAGGATCGAAGCTGGACGAAGGTTCGCCATTGACAATGATTGCTGTGAAACTTGCATGCGTCTTCGAGCATTCGGAGTGTTTGAACTGGACGAAAAACGTTTTCGAAAGCGATAAGACTGACGACGAAGTCCAAGAACTGTAAGTCCCAATGAAACTTTTATTGTGAATTTTTCTTTGTACAAAATTCAAAACTTTTTAATTACTTTTCTCCAATTTTATCCGAATTAAATTTAATAAAAATGATCACTCATATATATTGGTTCATTTTATTTTGTATATTATTGCTCTATTATTATACATATACATTTACTACAATTATATTTCTTTACATGTGAATTTGCATTTGTCAAGGATTTAATAAAGTTAAATTGTTACAGTGTCCCTTCTTACATACGGGAAACGTTTTATTGCACTATTGCGCGTTATGGAACCCGAAAAGTGTGGAATTATTTCACGGAGAAAGTAACGTCCACCGAGGACGAGGAAGAAAGGAGACGTTTGTTATCGTCATTCGCCTGTTTTCAAGCTCCTTGGATTCTACAATCGTAAGCGTATATCACATTTTATGATTAACTTTAATTTCAAGAATTTTATGTATGTATATTACCAGGGTACAAAGAATCAAATACTTTATGTTTGTACTATAAACATTTTTAATTCAGTGTTTATTTGTGTCAGTAGCGTCATTCAGTCAATTATAAATCAATTATCTCGTACTCTTCGTCTACAGTTTAAAAGATCTCATTATAAAACTCAGTGAGCTTTTAAAACGAGCACATGTATGTATATCTTCTCCTCTTTAAAACGAATGGAAAAAAGCGTCAAAGTGGGGAAGTAGAGATAGCGTGAAAGAATACTCCTCTTTATTTCGGAGAGCTTTTTTGAACATTTATTCCTACAGGGGAGTGTTGATAGAACGAAGCCCTTTTAACTTCCTCTCCTTTTTTCTTTTTTTTTTTTTTCTTCTTGAATTTGCGCTTTTACCATCACGAGCAGTGCTGATAGATTAACATGATAGAATTTTTCAGTTGCCAATATTTGATTGTTTTTTAAACACGAACGTATTTTATATTTTAACGCGGAATTTTGCTTCTTAAGAACTTTGTATTAGAATTAGAATTAGGGTAAAAATCTAGCAATCTGCAAATAAAAATTGACGGGGATAGATATATTTATTATTTTCTTTGATTTCTTTATCTCGTGCTGCGTCTTTCTTCTCATAATATTCTTTGGTCACTATAGCAACCGATGACGTTACTGTGATGTTATGTGATTTTGAATAATAACTATCGAAAAACGTACAGTAAGTTGAATTTACTAGTATCATTGATTATTAGGAACCGTAAAAATTTAGATTCTACGTTGCTTGATTTTCAATTTAAGACCAGAATATCTTCTGTTTTTCTTTAAAATTTTCTTTAAAAAATGAACAAATTCTTTTGTTTAGTTTATCGGTCCTTTACATGTTCTTAAAGTTTTGACATTTAAATTCGAGACACGTTTTATATATATATATATATATATATATATATATATATATATTTGCATATATTAATATAGCTATGTACTATACATTGTGTACAGAAGTATATGTACATATATATATCTTTTTCCTCTCATAACAGTATTCTCAACGAAATACTTCACGAGGAGCGGTTCCAAGAGGACGAAATATCAATAATTTTGAACGCATTTCCGCAAAATCCAGCTGCGGCTCAAATTTCATCACGATTCGTTCGAGCAAATTGGCAGGAAATTGTGCAGAGGTATTTTAAATTTTTTCATGAAAAAAAAAAATTCACCGTACAAAGGAAGAGTAAAATTACTTTTCTATATTTTTTGATTTAGATTTTCAGGATCTTATTCAGTGTTGAAATCCTTCGTTCTGTCCATGGTCAACGGTTTGACAACCGAACAGGATTTAGAAGACGTAAGAAATTATTAATATTAAGAAAATTTTTTTCATGAAAGGAAAAAGCAATACAGTGGAAGAAACATTATTTTATTTTACCAAATATTAGGTTGCGATATATTTTTACTATCTTAAACTTCCTGCGGAGAAAGTTGCAACTATTTATTCGAAATATTGTACACTAAAGAATTCATTTAAAATATTGTGCATCATTCTTTACTATATCATGAAAGAAATGACAGGATAGTCTTGGTTAGTCGATATGAAATTCGATGAATATTTAATTTAACATGTCACAAAATTGTATTCTCGTTCAATTGTTGCAGCTTCAAATATTCAGAGAGATTAACTACGACAGCATGAAGGGAACAAGGTATGCCGCAGCGCTTGTCGAAGCGAACGGAAATTTCGTAACAGCGTGGTTGAAGAATTCTTTGCCGCAAATTGAGAATATATTAAAAGAAGAAGAAGAAGAAGAAGAAGCGCAGAGGTCTGTGACCTCATGAGAATAGCTGATAAAAGTGGAAGAACAAACAAGCTCAATCAGTTTTTTAAAGACTTGCACGTACGTTTTATTGATCAGTGTGATTTAATATTATCTTTTTCAATTTTTACTTAGAAAATGCAAATCCGAACGTTTCGCGCGATGAGATACATTAACACGTCCATTTGTTATGTAATTTATTAATAGAGCACATATTACATCGCTGCAAATGAATATAGTATCTCTTTGAAATATCGTAATGGAAATCATTTTTTTTTCAGTTATCAAATTCAATACTCTTGGAACAAATACGTTAATCGAAATTATCTTTTTAAAGATTAATTGTTAGGCTGGTAAATAAAAAACTAGAATGTGTGACAAAAGAAAATTAAGAAAGAGAATAAAATGAATGATGCAAAGCAGAGATCTCAAGCTTTAAAATGAGCCCAAGTTTATTATTGCACGACTTCTTCTTACAAAATTTTACACTTTCAATATTTAGTATATTAATGGGAGTCACTGTATATTATGTAAGAGTTGTCCTTTGAGTTGTCCATTTTTGTAAAACAAAGGTCATAAAATTATGAGATTCGTACTATGTTTAATTAATTTTTTGTCATTTTGAAGATTGATATGTTTCTTCAAAATTTCCTCCAATTTATACTCACGATGATCTTATGTCTTGAAGGGTTAAAATTTTTGATTAAAATTTTCAACAAGCCTACGGTATCTAGTATACTATATGATAAAGTCTGTGATCTGTGAGACGAAATGTGTTCTATAGTTGTAAAAGTTATTTGAAAATTGTTATTTAAAGTTTTGATTAATGCATACAATTGTCAATACGTTCAATGACTAAAAAATAATTAACTATAAAAATAATCAATTTATCGCGCTACCGCATGTATCTACAGAACACACGATAAAATTCTTTTTCACATAAAAAATTAATTAAATACTGTATACTTAACAGAAATAGAAATGTAATTTAAACGTTTGAAAAGATTGAAATATAAATTACGAGACGTTAATTATGAAATGTATCCAATTATTATCTCGAACAATACTGTGTATGAAATATTCACTCCAGATTGAAACGATGTTTTTCCCTTGGAAATGGTTCAATTGGAAAAAATTGAAAAAAGTAATTTCGAATTCACCGCTGGTTATTGAATAAATGTTTAATCTGTGATAGATTAAAAGTACACGATCGAAAGACTCGACTGTATGAACAAGCAAAATTCAGGCAAACGTACATCTGTACTGAAAATTCACTGTAAAGCTTTAGTTTAGATACAATGCAAATGAAGAAGTTATTCTCTAAAAAGATAATGCTTTTCGTGTTTCGAAATATTATCGATGCCATGTAATTTTTTTTGTATGAATGACATTCATATTAATGAAACGAACTTTTATTGCATTAATTAATTTAGGTATAATTGAAGTTAGTATAACTGCTCACTGAATGCCAATTTTATACGAAAATTTCGTTGTGTTCAATGCGTGACAACCAGGATGTTTCAAAATTAAACTTACTTTTAGGTTTTAATTTTCAAATCGCAAATTAAACCAAAATCATAGAAGTGGAATACAAATTAAGTAAAAACGGACTACTATATCTATTTATAAAGTAATATCATTTTTAGTTTCGTTATTGGTATTTTGTTTTTAAGTAATTTAAGTATCACATTAGAATTATTATATAGAAGTAGGTAAAATTAGAATTAAGTAAAAACAGACTATTATATCTACTCGTGAATTAATATTATTTTTAGTATTCTTGTTGGTATTTTTTTTTTTTAAATGATTTAAATATTACGTTAGAATTACCATGTAGATGTATTATTATAAATTTAAGTTACGTTACTTTTATTAACAGTAAACTATAAGATATGAGTAATAGATAAAGTAGTAAAATGGATATATATAGAGAAATTAAATTAATTTGTAGAACGTATAAAAATAAACATATATTTGTTTCCTACGGAGTAAAAACTTTGATAGTTTAAAATAATTTTTAAGATGTTACATTGTAATTTGTATATTACAATTATATATTGTTAGATTATAACTTTAAAAATTTTAAGTGCTACTGCAATAAATATGAAACAAAAATCACGTAATTTCAAGCAGAACTATTTTTTTTCTCTACATATATTACGTACTTACCTACCAGATTTCCAAACTATTTTCAATTTTTGATGATGCATCTTTCATTAAAATATAAAGGATTAATTTGATAATTAAAATTTTATTACCAAACTGCGGATTTTTATGCATTTGTAACAAATTTAATGAAACATCGAAAAAAAAGGTATATTTATTATGATACTTAATAGCAGACAGAAATTTCTTCTTAGGCTTTGTTTCTTTAATTGTATTCATAAGAGTATGAAATTGCACAAAGATCCGTAAAGAGATATTTACTAGTTTAATGAAACATTAATTTTAAAAGAAAGGTTAATATATGGATTTTTTTAAATGTAAATAATATATTGTATAATATATTATAATTAATTATAAATACATTAACTATTAAATGTATAACATAATAACAAAATAATATTGTGTATAAGTACGTGTAATATAATAATGACAAATATATAACTGACATTAACAAATATAATATAAATCAATTAATATTATATTATATTATTGTATTAATTAATATAATAATAATATTAATATATCTCATCTCAGGACAAATATTACGATAGGGAATGAATTTTCAGGACAAAAACGAGGAAAAGATGATTTTTCTACGACAACAAGTTTTATTCTTCGAATGCTTTTATCAAGCATGATTACAAAACCAAGCAACAAGAATCTCGTCCTTACATCGTGTAGTCTTAGAACGACGGTCCTCAATAAGTTATAGATACATATACATATATATATAATATGTATATATATATATATATTTAACAAACGATATATATAGTAGTTGTATCTAACGATAGTAGTCAATACTCGGATAATCTTCTCCCTTATATTTTTTTTCTTTTTGCTGCTCGTTATTTATCTCATTTTAATAAATAGCGCTATTGCTATACAGTATATTTGTTTATTATAATTATCGTTAGTAATGTAATCATATCCTTACTCGTCCTTAGCCTACGTCGCTAATATTTCTCAATTTATGGAGTTTTTAAGCTACGTTATTTTTTTTTTTTTAAATTTTCGTTTAGTATTATGTTACGCATTGAAACGTGTCATGTGGTCAAAGATCGGGACGCGGGTGTCGAATTGAAACGATCTCGAACAGCGAACGCACAATGATAAAAAGAGTACAGCTTCGACAGTTCCGGAAGTGACAAATCACTAGACCGCGGATTCTTACGCAATTTAGATATTTATGCAATTTTATAATATTTTCACGAAGACAATTGAAAAGGAGGAAATTATTCTATCTATTAAACGTTAAGTATTAAATATTGCATAAATATTAAGCATTTACACCTTGAGTATCTCTGGGAATAAATCGCTGGGAACAAAAATCCGCTGTTCGAAAATTATCTTTTCAGCTTGAAACGAATATTTTCCTTCAGTCACTGCCAGAATGTCATAAATGAATGAAAAATGTCGATACATCGAGTTTGTCGAGTTTTTGCGAGTCAATGATCGTGCAATTGAATAGGGCAAATTTTACGATGACTGATTGTTTGGTTGTTCTTCAATACTTATTGTCATTATGCGATTTTTTTTTTTTTTTTTAGGCTTGTCGCGCGTTTACTTGGCACTGTAACATATCGTGTACGAAGTACGAGACGCAAATGAAGAATGTATAATGCACACGTTGAATTTGTCGAGACATCGATGTATCTGTTTTTTGTCATGATATTGTGAGAAATTCAATTACTCCAAGTCAAAATGCGGCGCGCTATTGTAGCCATCGTTACGTTGAAAATACGCGTGTAAATTTGTTTAACTTGTTAACTGTGTTTGATACTCGTCACGCGAAAGATGGCACTGCGTGAATTAAATTTACGACGATATTATATTTACTTATATCAAAGACGACATATTTGGACGAAAGATGACACAAGTTTAAAGTTTTTGTGACAACAGAGAAATAAATTTAAAGTGAAGAATTTTACGAAGACAAACAAATATTTGTAAGTTTAGAATATTCCAAAATATTTCAAGACCGCGATGGAATAAGAAAATTCAAATTTATTTTCAATTGGAATATTTAAAATATTTATTTAATTATTCATTAACAGTTGGATAACACTCTTTGAGCTCTGGAATAAAATATTTCGTTTTACAAAAAAACACCAACTGGTATATTGTTAGAATTTACATTTTTATTTAAATGTCAAAATGCAGTATGACGAGTATATCGGTCATTCTCCAATTTTAATTACACAGCTAACAGGTTAAGCTCGATTTCTTCGCATTTTCTTAGATTTATTAACATGTTCCGTTTCTTTAATAACGATACGATACTTCTAATGAGCCTCGATTGATTTACTTAATTCCTCGGCATTTTGCACAATACTCTCTTTTTTTGTTTTTTTACTTAGAAGTTTCTAAACCTTCCAGGAAGAATGTTTTTCAAATCAATCCTGCTTGCAAATCAATCCTCTCTTATCATCGCCGGATCTTTACTTTTCGTTAATTTCAATTTCATCATAACAAGCAATCAAAAAGAAAGAGAAATATATTAAAAGATGCTAATGAAAGCAGAAGAATGAAACATAACTTGAAGATTGGAGAAAATTTGCTGATATTATAATTTTAACCCTGCCACGATTCTCAAACTTTTATATTTCAATCTTGTATGTTTATCAGAAAATATAAGAAGATATAAGAAGAAAATCGAGCACAATAATGAGAATTTTTCTCAAATTTTGTTCAACCCATCAAGGATCAAACAATGATTTATCGTAACGTTATAAATACTTCAATTTCTTGAAATTTCATAAAATCGTAGAGTATAGAATAATGAAAGAATTCTTGTGAATATTAATTATAATATTATGAAAAGAAAGTTATGCATTATATATTACTATAATTGTATGTTACTATACATTACTGTATACAACATATATTGTATAATTATTTTTTTTATATTATAA